CACATACATACACAGTCTTCTTTGGCAGAAACCTGCGTGAGGTAAGGGACCAACGATGTCAAGAGCTAATCATTCAAACGGTCTAGTAGAAGTAGAAGTTATCTCCATTGGAGCCTTATTGGACATTCTCAATGGCTTATTTATTTGGCATAATTGGTATTTCTTTACATAATCTACAATATCAGAGCGTATACCCTTCCAATAATAGGCGGCTTTAATTCGTTTATACATACGATTTGATCCTTGGTGGGCTACGTCGGTTACTCTGATTCTACCGCGAATATCCTCATTTATAATTTTATCACGCAGATAAACCTCGAGCATAGCCCTACATAGCTCGCTGAGCAACATTGAGCTTCCTCATACGGCTGGCAGTGAAGGGTTATGTCTCAGATCCACAAGTCATCACTGGCAACACGCACTGGTTGCACAATCTTGTTTTCAAATTTTGAGGTGAACTTAACGAGAAGATGTGTCGCAAAACTCTCGAACGCTGCTCAGCCGAGTTGAATCCGTCGATCGACCTCTCAGTCGAAGTTGAACTTACCTAGACGGACTATTTGTCCCATGTAAACATACTCATCAACAACTTCGAGCTTAGTGCTCCCAACAACTACTGGCATAGGGGTGACATGGATGTTACACATGATCTTTGTTTGGTCCACGTTCATTTTAAGACCTATCCGTTGGAAGACACTATAAAGGTAATTGAGCATAGTGCTTAGGTCTCCCAGCGATTCTGCCATAAGGACTATATCGTCGTAAAATCGAAGGTGAGTGATCTACTCGCCATTGATGTTTATACAGTATCCTTTCCAGTCTAGTAGCTTGAAAACGTCTTCCAGTGCAGCCTTATATCGAAGTGCTGAAGTGTTTATGCAGCCCTACTGTACAAACACTTCAGCGCTTCGATTACTGTCAGGCAAAATCGGATGAATAAACTTGGCCTTGCTGAAGGGGCTGCAGGTCCGTCCAAATTTCGATAGAATCAAACTGGCTGGTCATACTCTTCGGTCTACTATTGCAATTTGCCGAAGGGTGAGTAAGTGGTCTATGGTACTAAATCTTTTTCCCTTCTTTTTCTGAAGTTGTCGAGTCTGCGTGCAAGACGATTCGTAATGACTCTCGAAAACAGCACAATGAGATTGTTGAGAAGAGAAATCGATCCGTAGTTCTCCAAGAGAACCAACCTTTTTTGAAGAACAAGATCACCGCATTACTGATCCACTCTCAAAGTGGGCTCGATAAGCCCACTTTGGATACACACGGTTTGTTCATAATTTTTTAAATAGCTTACTGCTGGATCCCGGTTCCAGATGGAGTTTCACGAGCAGCTATGCTAGCTATGCTATAGCATGGGAATGCTTTTGTCTTCTTTTAATCCGTCTACACAGCCCAAGTATATATCTCATCACCCGTCTATACAGCATACGCATTAGGAATACATAGTTAAATGTATCATGCGTTAAACGAGATCACAATTCACCTGCGATAAAATAACTGCCGTTTGCAACACTGCAAATTTGCAATTAAATAATGGAGGGGTTAACATAAAACATAATAATCGTGAAACTTGTAACGCAAACATTGAATAAAACTAGTAATTTTACGGACTTTATCGTGTTTAATATTATTAGAATTTAATACACAACTTTTAACTACCCTGCTGAATATATATTTTTTTAAGTTCTAAGTTTACGTGTAAAAGTACTAAATTATCATTCTCACATGTCAATTGTATCAAAATGCTATGGATTCGAATCGGACATTCTCCTAATGTCGTAAAACATTCCCAATAGTAGCATTTTAAGTTTAACAGGAATGGTAAGCGGATATATTAAATAAATTAATAAATAGCATACTTTTTATTCTTAAATTGTATTTCTACAAAACGCCTTAAAGAAATGAAGTAAAGTATTATGGATATAGGAATGTACAATTTTATTGATAAAAATATTTTTAAAAAAGGATACAAAAATGCAATTTACTGAAACTTTTTGAGCAATTTCATCGCAGTAACTTCAAAAATATTTAAACTCCTATCTATGGTTAATGTTTTTGAAATACGCATTATATAGTTATTAACATCAAGAAACCTTATGTTTCGTATAAACCCTAAAATTAATGCTTTTAACATTAAAGGTCTGTAGCATCAATAAATGCTAAAAAAATATTCAGTTTTGTTAAAATCACGCAGTCAAAATACCATAACAAAAATTACAAGGGCTTGAAACTTGAAAATCCTAATGAAAACAGTATTTTTATAAATTACGTTCTACTGATTTCCTAGACTAGATGTGTTATAGTTGTCCGTTTTGATAACTTTTGATTATATCGCCTAAGCATATCTAGCAATAATGTCTTTAGGTACCTACGTAAATATTATAGATATGTCAAATTTCAAGCATATTCTACATCAATAGACAACATGCCTACTGGTAAGTGGTTACCGCAGATGGACTGCACCACTTGCAACCGACTTCAACTAAAGATAGCTCCTGCGTTTTCACCCACCAGTGACTAAAATGGAAGTGGAATATGGTAGGGAATGCACTCATAGTTAGGGGCAGGAGTATGGGACGGTTAGTTCAAACACAGGAATACCCTATTGTAATAACACTCTATTTCGAAGTAGTAGTAGGTAAGATTCTCTTTCTCTTGTGAAACTTTTACATATAAATAGTTATGATAAATTCTTTAAGATAATTAAAAATAACTTTAAGTTTTAATTAAATGTACAGTGATAGAAATAAATTATAAGCGCGCACATCCCTTAGTTGTATTTTAATTTATAGACTATTTAAAAAAAAAATTTCATCATGAAAACTTAACCAGGATTCAAATACATTCAATATAAATTTAAATTAAACAAGGCATAATATGCACTAAAATAATATAAAAAATAAACTAAAAAATAAATAAACCCTAATTTAAAAAAGTTACTATAAAAACTTAAGTAAAAGACAATGCGTTATAAAGCAAACTCTACGTTTCAGGAGTGTACTAAGAGGCGACTACGGGGAACGCCAGAACAGTCTAATAGCTCTCAATATATGACGCTATAACCAAGTCGGTTACGTTAGAGCCAGACATGAAATATATAGACTGGCTACGGACAGCAAAGGCAAAGTTGTCAGACGTCTTGTATCGTGATCGTCAATCTGACTGCCAACAGTGAACATCATAGCAAATCCCTCCTACTGGGAGACTCCTACTCCTAGTGAGAGAGCTCCAAGACTTTTACAAGCTGATAGTGAATGAGAAGAAGAATACATAATTATTTTGACATATTTTCATCATAAAGTGCGACAAAAGTCTTCTCTCACTAACCACCTCCAAACGTTTTCGTTTCAAGCACCTCTCACCAACATCATAACAGAAGGCAATATCTGTGCCTACCACGTTCTTTTGAAAAACAACTAATTTGAGCCGTGTAGCATAATAAAGATTTGCGGATATAGTATGTTAAAAGTAAGTAATGTCAAAATAAACCAAGTCAAAAAGCAGCGTAACAAACTAAAACTCCATTACAACCTGTGAATTCCACTGCCAAACATAGGTTTCCCCATAGATTGTCTCATTGGGGAATTTCGCTACAGTTGCCAGTCTTGGCAGGCGAGTTAGCAAAAGCTTTTTTAAATATTTTGAGTTGACATTACGAAGATTCTGCCACCCTATTCCTGTATCAGTTTCTCTCTGTCGCCCCTTACAATACCCACCGGACGATATAGAGTCGTGAATAGTGTCATTCTAGCTATACGTCACAACTTTTTTACCATTAATAAATTTTAAAAAGTATTAATTGCTGATTTATTCTGCCCGTGAGTCATATTAAGACAAGCAGTAATTATGAAAATAATTCTACTGCATCGCATTTTCACAGCAACATCTATCGATGACAACGGTTAACCATTGTACATTTTGTAACTAAAATAGTATTACGTTAATATTTATGAGAAAACATACATTTTTATGTATAATGTGTTTTAGGCAAAAAAGCATATCAATAAGGAAATGTTTCTTTTTGATATGCTTTTTTTAATTTAATTAATTTTAGATAATTTATTACGATTTCTGGGATTAGGTATAAAATAAACTTGATTGATCAACATCATCATTGAACAAATTCGAACCTATATTTCAAAATAATAATCATGAATTTTGATAGAATGAACTGATTTTAATAAAATTTAGACTAAATGTCATTCAATGAAACGCTTTATTATTTTCTTAACGAATAGTTTGAGAAATATAAGTGCCTTATATGTGATACGTGTGTTAACAAATAAACAGACAGTCATTACTAAAAATGATAGAAATGTATTGTTTACTTATTTTTAGTCTCTCTTAATCTTCCATTGTCAACTTATTGTCACAGAAATATAAAATGTACAAACCCTTGCAATTTACATTTTTATTATATGTAAAAAAATATTAATTATTAATTAATCACTGCCAACGTTTTCAAATATATTTTCCCTTGACAACCTTAAAATTAAATAATACTAATTCAACAAACAAAAGCACTACACAAATGTTTAAATATTGCCCTAAAATGTATATAGAACAAAATAAAAGGACAATAAGAGTATTTATCAATAGAAATTGAAACCGATTACAAAGTACACAACGGAAAAATTTCACAAATCATTTATTTCACTCATTATCACCTTTACTTATATATATATATATATATATATATATATATATATATATAATCATTTAGCAATAAGCGTATATTTGCCTGATTAATACAAAATTGCTTACAGTCTTGTTTATCGTATCGTCTCTTGTCAAATATGTCCAAGTAAAAGCGTTCATGTGAACATCAATTTTCAGGCGTCGCGGGCTAGTCGTTCATTGTAGTGGGCCTCTGAGAGGTAGATGATTTTTAAATTATTGTCACCTCCATCAAATCAATTATTTGTCCTTTTCATTCGGAAGTCATAAAACACTGTATTCAAATACTACACAGATAACGTATTGTATTCAATTATATGTTACGTTTCTAGTTTAGACTGACTAGTATTTCTCGATGTCTCGCATGATGAATCTCTTCTTGCATTATCACTTAAAACTGGTTTGGCTGAAAACAATAAAATTATTATAAAATTATTTATAACAATATAGAATCATTATTAATAATATATTTTTTTATTTTAAATATGCATTATTATATTATAGATTATTCCATAAAATTATGATGATGATGATGATATAAGTCAGTGTATATGATGCCCGCCCATTAGATGAAGTGTCGACCTGGTAAGATATATTGGAATCGACTCATAATATTGTCGTAGGGATATGTGGTCTACTATGAAAGGTGACGTAAATTCTGAGTAATTGAATCCAAAAGGACAATATCTTAAAGCCATTTTAAGTTCGTCATTCGACATTTGTTCAGACAGGTAGACTACGAAAAAAATACCAAAACAATATCTAAAACAAGAAGATATAAGCTAAAATCTACTTAAGAACAATAGAAAGGATGCGCAAACTTAGATTTTATGACAATACGGTAAATGTGAAAAAAAAACTACCAAAGTAACAAGTGAGTTGGATGTATTTTTAAATTAAACGATTTCTATTAATTTATTATTTTCAAATAAGGAGAATGTAGGACGAGTAAAATAAATTAACCTTCGAAGTTGAAACGTGGTCCTTCACAAAGCGCGTGTTAAGAGGAATCTCAATATCGTGGTTTTTTTTATAACTTAGAATTTTTTACAATAAACGACAAACCCGTTAGATAAAATAAACTTTCAAATGCAATAGACCAGTGATAGAACTTATCAAAACCGGCACCCTTATACCAGCGAATTTATCACTGATCAAGAATTATTGTCAGATGCGTCGCTTAGCTCTCGTCTTTATGGCAATCCTTCAGAGAAGTCTGTGATCATTGTTGATGTATAAATAAATGATGGGTTCTTAAATTAATATCAAATATTTTACTATAAAATCTTTACCAAATATCCTCAGAAGCATCTTTTCGATGCCGTGAATTGGAGATTCGAAGATGACACATAGCATCAAGGCAAGGGTAAATGTTAGAACTACGTGTGCAATACTATTCGCCATCTGAAAAAATATTCGACATACTAATACAAAAGTGTGAAATATAGTATGTAATTTTATAAAAATCTCTATAAGTAGAATTTATAACTTTCACGTACAATACAAAAAGTTCTTGTATTAATTTGAGCAGGTTTTAACAACAAAACAAATTACTAGACAATATAACGGCTCCGGCGTAAACAACTATAAAAACTTTAGTTACAAAAAGTTAATAACACATTCATTGCGTAAAACTTACCACAGTGAAAAATGTGATGTGCAGAGGATGCCTTAATTGGCTCACATAATATAATTCAACGATTCCGTTCACAAGATAAGCGCAGAATGTCAGCCTTGAAATTGGTACCAGCATTTTCATTGTCAATAACATATTTAAAATACCTGAAGGGAATAATTAAAATGTTATAAATTAAAAACTATTTTAAAGAACTAAAGAGAATAAATATAATCATTGAAATCGGTTGACGTGGTAAAGAATTATTCACCCACAAATCAGTTTCATGATTTTCTTTTATCCCATCATCAGACGTTGACTAAATTTATATGAAACCACGCCAAAAACAGGTCTCTTTTAACAAAAAAGTATCATTGAAATCGGAAAATATGGTAAAGAATTACAGCTGGACATACATAAAATATTATTCCGACAAATTCAGTACCTCCTTTCTTTTTGATGTCATTGAAAGGTTAAATTTAAGTTGTAAGTTTTTCATATAACTAGATTTACATCCGTTTACAGTGCAGAGTTTTGATGAGGTTCATTTAGTAAATTTAAATTTCGCACCCTTTTTATAGAAGGGCAACAAACACAGAGTGTAACAAAAACCACGGTCATCTATATCTGTCCTAGATTACGAATCAAAATGCAGATGCGTTTTCACTAAGGACTAAGACGTGTTGCCTCGTTACCAGTAAAAAATGCTTGTGTTGTCACTTCCCATAAACCGAAACACAGCAGCATTATAGTGCCATGAAACTTTGGTATTTGCGAGAGCCCGATCAAGCCGACTCCTTCGGGCTGCAGTTAAAATACGCTGTACCGTAGATCTATCTCATTGAATACTGTCACAAATGTATGCGCAAACAAATAGTATCTCTTCTTATCTTAACCTAACCGTTCCTTGTATGACACTTATGCTATAAAATTAAAGTCATTCAAAATCATGACGCTAATTACTAAACATTACTTAACTAGAAAACCAACATTTTATTTTCACAATCGTTGACTTCCACCAGGATTTCAACCTGGCACACCCAGTGTAATCAGGCACTCTAAGCAACAGTAACTACTGTTTCAAATAATCAATTTTACTCTTTTTTATAGCATTGAATGACAAACGAGCACACAGTCCACCTGATGCTAAGTGAATGCTATGGCTCACAGACATCCACATTTATCCTTAATTGAGAATAATAATGCAAATATGTTTGTCATCACTGTGGACTAAGATGGAATGCCGCGATTCCAGTAAAAAGGGTCTCCAGTTCTCTACACTCACTATACGAAACACAGCTTCATTATGCTGCTATTTTACGCTGGTATTCTGTGTGAGCGTGGCCCTGCCACGGTCGAGGCGACCCATTCGTGTTGAAACTATAATATAGCTGCAGCGTGGCTCTACCGCGTAAAAACTTGACTTTTGGTGAATATATAAATAACAAAATAAAATGTTCTTGATCACAAAACGGAGCTCAAATGATAAAAAAATTAAAAAAACCGCACCTCCACTCCCAGTGGCACAAGCTATTATAAGCCAACCATTGGCTATACTCCATGCGAGCTTATGCAGGGACACATAAGCAGCTGCTTCTATAACGCTATATTTGTACCAGTCTTGGTAGAACACACTGACGGAGAAAACGGCTACAGTTCCTAAAATTATGCTGGTTATCCAGGCGAAGGTTTTCAGTAGCCGAGATAACTTGTAGCTGAAAATAATTATATCAGTAATTATATCAGTAATCTATGCATTAATACGGGAAGAGAAAACTGTGTATGAGATAAAAGTTAAACACAGCTCGCTTAACATACAACTTAAAATATTAATAAATTACAGTCTGAATTCGACCACTGAGCGCCCCACTTGTTTTGATTACTGTACTATATTTTTTGAATATTTAATACTTATATTATATATAATAATGCTCTTCATCTCGCGGGAAAAGATTATATTGCCCGAGTGTATACGCAAGCACAGTAAAAATGTAACGTACACAGCACGAGCTAGTGACACTAGTTACTCGACTCTACACAATCAGTAACGAACAACCTACACAACTAGTATTGAACGTAAGAAATGGCTTTCAATAATAATTATTTTGCTATATTAAAAAAAATCAATTCTATTCGATTATAAGCACTTATTACGAAGATAAATCATAAGTGAATTAAAATAAAACTAATTCACTGCTAAGAGTAAGAAATATCAACTTACTTCTCCGTTTGAACCCGATGCAAGATATAGCCTGTCAGTAACCCCATGAAATATGGCGTCATCTTCATATGAGTCTTAATATAAGCTTCCCTGAAGTAGAAGTTAGTTGCGAAGTCAGTAAATTCTCTAGAAAAATGAATGAAAGCATTATGGAAAAGTGTTTAACTTACTTTTACGATGTTTCTTGCAAACAAATTACTCTCTTTTTGTTTATGAGTTTCAATATAAAAATATATACTTAAACGGAAAGTAGCATTTAAATGTCAATGTAATAAGTTATTAAAGTCAATATTATTAAGTTATTATGATAAAAATTCCAATACAATTCATTTTAATATCACACTGAAGTAATTTTTAAAAGTATTTATACTAACTTGGCATAAAACAGCAATGTTGGATCCAATTGTTCTTTGTAAGTAATAACAGATGGTATCGCCAGGGATACAATTATACCTAGAGCTAAGAAAATTTTTCCCAGTCTATGCCACCTCCACAGGCCATATATAAAAATAGGGGCTATGAAAAATAGTTGCGTGTCTACGGCTAGGTACCAAGATTGAAACATACACTGAAAATAATGTATTAAGAAATATAATTATTCATGTCACTTGTTTCGTAAACTGTTTCTATCATCTTCAATGAAAATAAAAATTCAAATTGTTTATAATAGTGTGAAGTTGTGGCCTTTAGTGGTAGCGTATGAGAATTTACTACTAAATGAAATGAAACAGAGGACTATATGAATGCATTACAGCATCTTTCTGATAACAACTAAGTAATAAAAACAAGTAATAAAAATCTGTGATTGCCAACCCAACAGTCAAGGCACAATTAAAGTTTAAAGTTACAGTCTATATACGTCCCACAGCTGGGCACAGGCCTTCCCTCATTTCTGAGGGGGTTTTACGGTAAGGAAGTGTCCGCCAGGCTGCCCCAATGCGTGTTGGAAAACTTCACATGTCTTCGAAATATTTTTTTTATTTTTTATTTCTCAGACATCCTGTTTCCTCACGATGTTTCCTTCACCGCCGTGCACGTGATACTAACTAGCACTTAAAATTTCAATTGACAATTTTAATGATGCTGGCGGGCATCGAACCCGGGTTGCTCGCGTCTTGCGATTTTACATCGAGCGCTAACCACCTGAGCTACTACAGCTCAGTCAAAAGTCAAATCGTAAGTCAAGGCATATTCAGCTCTTAATAATCTGTAATATATGAGTTAATGATTCATTATGAAATTTTGATTATTTCACTTCTTATTCTTACTTAATTGAAGAAACGCCTCAAAAATGCCGTAATAATATTGTGCTTTTAGTTTAAAATAATATAAAGAAGTAATAAACATCTAAAACATATAAAATACAGTATTAAATTATAAAATATCATATTATATAAATATAAAAGAATATAACGTCCCTTAGTAAGGTGGTCACATTATGAAGTTCTCATACTGACAACATTTTTTATTAATGATTTAGTTAAAAAAATGTAAAATCTTTCACAGCATAACGTCACAAGCATAATGATTTAAATTAAAAAAAAATATTATTTTTTCAAACGATTATGAGTATATCAATATATCAGCATAATGAAGCGTCCGAGTAGGAATCCTGGACTTGATTATTACAATGTTAGAGTGTAATTAATGTTATGGCAGTACTAGGGAGTGCTCTGAGGAATTGTTCGGATAAATTCAAGCCGCACAATTTCTCCATCGCACATCGCAACAATACTCCCAAAACCATCCATGCCATCTGGATGATTGGCTGTCCACCATTTAAAATATCCGCGATTTAAAAAAGTTTTCTTCCTCACACAACTTTCTTGTGGAATCGATCCAAAGATTAGGGAGCACACACCTTTTTAAAAGGCCTCTGCAACTCGCCTGGTATTGCAGTTGTTCGTGGGTGGCGGTAATCACTCGCCATCAGGTGAGCCGTATCAGGTATGCTCGTTTGATCCAACTCCTTTAAAAAAACTATTTCGCAAAATCTATAGGAGTTTTTACACATTATTGCTATTTGATGTATCTAAAACATACAAGTTATGCTTACAAGTTGATCCGTCTTGAAGTAATTGTTTATGTACAATATGTTTGCCCACCAAGTTTCCAAACACCTCTCTTGTTCTAACTGCATTCTGTTTTCCCATAGGGGTCCCTCCCCTATCTTCGAAAGCCAGGTCAAGTAGAATAAAATAACCACTACATATGCCGGCGTTACCCTGTACATAGAAGAAATTATAGAAGCAACTTTAAATGATAGTTTTATAATGGGACGAAATATCACAAACTACTAAATATTATATAAAAAATGATGATTGAATTTGAATTTTGTAAACTAGTGTTATTAACTCAAATATTTGTAGGATTATTTTAGCATGACTGTGTCAAATTGCAATAATTTGCTATGTTACATGATACAAATATATATCTACAGAAATATTTTTGCACATATTAATCTAACAAACAATCTTATGCCTATATGAATGTTTGTTATTTAGAGTTTTACGTAAAGCCATCTTTTTCTTAATTTGTCCATGAAATACCACGTATAGATATCTCCCTTCTTAGATAGGATTTGTCTTAATTTCTATGGTTATCAGGCATATTGGCGCACTTTTGACGAATTTTTGCCTTTGACGTAAACGACGTTGCTATGACACCACCTTTCGGAAGTCGTGAGTTCTTTCCGGCATTTTCCATTGTCGCCTCTTATAATACTTAAGTGACGAAATTCAGTGATGGATCGTTTATTTTTTATTTCTTTGCATAGCATAGGATGACAAGCGACCACACAGTCCACCTGATGGTAATTGGATGCTATGGCCCATAGACATCTACGTCTATCCTCGATTATGAATCAAAATGCAGATACGTTGTCGCCCGTGAGGACTAAGATGGAATGCCTCGTTTCCAGTAAAAAGGGTCTCCAGTTCTTTACACTCACCATACGAAACACAGCAGCATTGAGCTACTATTTTACGCTGGTATTCTGTGAGAGCGTGGTCCTTTCCCGGTTGAGCTGGACCATTCGTGCTACATCTATAATACTAATATAACTGCAGCATAGTATTACCGCATATAAAATTTTTGTCACCACCAAGCAGCAAATAAATAATATATTATAATTTTATAGCGTTATATTACATTTTGAAGCAGCTTGTTATTATTTATTTACAGAAGTAGGTGTAATAATTACAAACGGGCGTACTATCCACCTGAAGTAATTTATCACTTGATGAAACATCCCACGTGTGACGTAACAGGCGATATATGATAATGAAATAGGAGAAGAGCAGCAGCAACTTTCTGAAGAGCTCCATAATAATAATACCAAAACTGTGACTGCAAAACCCTTTGCCAAGCGTGAAAACTACGGTAAATACATCCCCTCTACTGCCTCGATGGTCTAGTGGCTGTAGTAGTGCGACTGCTGATCATGAGGTCCTGTGTTCGAATCCCGGGTGGGGCCAAATTATCTATTATTGAGTTCTCCGTCAAGAAATTCTCAGTAGCTGCCCAAGGTCAGGAAGTCGGCGGTGTCTCACACCCGTGCCTCGGTAAGCACTTAAAGTCGTTGGTCCTGCACCTGATCTCTTTCCGAACGTGTCGATTTACCGTCGCATTGAGTTATGAGAGTGAGGGAATAGAGAATGCACCTATAATTGCGCATACACATGGGCACTATAATTCTGTCCTGCGCCGATGGCTAGTCTCCGTTGAGACAAGCCGCCGTAATCGAAATGCGGTGTGGAGGACATTATTATTATTATTATTAAATATCCTCTCTAAGAGGCAGTCTATAGGACAGGTCTATATTCAGCAGTGGACTTTTAATGAACTCTAACGATGATGAAGTTATACAAATATAAGCAGATGTAATCATTTATTCCACAGAGGCAAATCGCGAAAGGATGGTAATATTTTGGCTTATATTATGTGCTCGATTCCATTCAATGTCCGCCTGCAGGTCCTAAACTAGTCGACGGAATTTTGACGAACCATATCTAATATATTTCGCTCAATATTTTATATTTGCACTGGTAACATAATGTATGACTTCAGCACAGACATAGATCTAAATCTATGTCTGTTATTATCTGCAATACGACATATAATGCGGCCTTATTGTAAGGAACAAAGCACATGTGGCGGACATGGTTTGACTAATCTTGCGAGAAATGCTTCTTGTATCACATGAATAGCATTGATCAGCACACGCCAAACACATACAATACGAATAAGAAATATGTCTTATATTAACGAAATCATTACAGTTCAGCCCTTTGTACTTTTTTTGTTAAATCGTTAGGATTGGATCGCTGTTAAAGAATCAACTGCCCCATACCATCCAGTGGTCGTCGTAAAAGGGGACAGAATGAAAAAGCTGTGGTTGCCAACCCTAGGCAGGCCAGCAACAACCAACCAACCAAGCCTGGTAACTAAAGCAGATATCCCACTTATGACGAAATCTATAAGGAAAACCTATTTTCAGTAATGTACTTTGATAGGCTAAAATAAATGGTATTAATGAGTGAAATCATTCGGAATATTCATAGCACTTAATTATTCAAAAATATACGTACATGCTGTCTACTAATGACGACAGAATGGCATAATTTATTATTTTCTATTGGGATTTAAACTCAATAACCATTACTGAAAATATTGGAAAACTGTTGAGTGACGCGGCGGATAAATAGCTAATTTAAATGGCGACAATACAAATAAATTTCAAAAGATATAATGAGTTAAGATCTACTGATTATTTTATCACGTTTTTATTAAGTCACTTCCTCGTTTGTCTGTCTGTCATTCCAAATTGAATTAAGTTATAGATTTTAAACGTTTACTTTTTTAAACTTGTTTGTTTTGTAATTTAAATTTAATTAATAAAACAGATACATGGAGTCCGTTCTTTGAACTACTATTTTACGCTGTTCAGTTAATACTATTGTTCAGTTCAGAACTCGGTATAAAAACTTTTGAGGCTGTAATTACTGTTTTAGCACATTTTTTTTTCATTCCTTTATTACCATCAAAATGCACAGTTGACCATTAGCTTCCTCCGAATATTGCCCCATATTTTTATTTTGTAATAGTTCCCAGGCGTAGCAGGCAGGTTGGCATTAAACGTAACAAAGGAAAATCGGAACTTTATTATAATTGGGCATTCAAAAGAGCCAATATCAATCCAGTATCTCTCATATAAATAATCGGATTATTGTTAAATGTGATTAGTACGATCCTTTGAGCAGCAAGGCCCAATCAGTACCCCATTAAGCGTATCTAATCGAATTAATTTCTCACTAAATCTGAATTAATCAACCCGCTCGTTTCAAAGTCAGTATCAGCCAGGTCTGTACGTACAACAATCACCGAAATTCACCGAACAAACCCTCTCATTCGAAAATATTCCGGAAAGTGTAAACAGAAAACATTAGCGAAACATTTTAACCCTTCAAGCGCCATAAAAATCCTATGCAGTCGCATGTGCTCGGCAAATTTTATACGTGGTAGAGCCATATTGCAGTTATATAAGTAGTATATTTGTAACACGAATGGGTCGGCTCGACCGGGGAAGGACCACGCTCTCACAGAATACCAGTGTGAAATAGTAGCTTCTGTGTTTCGTATGGTGAGTGTAGAGACCGGAGACCCTTTTTACTGGAAACGAGGCATTCCATCTTAGTCCTCACGGGTGACAACAAATCTGCATTTTGATTCATAATCGAGGATAGATTTCGATGTCTATGGTCTATAGCAACTACTTACCATCAGGTGGACTATGTGCTCGTTTGTCACCCCATCCTATAAAAAAATCCCGAGCGGTGGCGTGCGATTGCACCCACTCACAGCATACAACCATTAATGCTTATATTTAGAGACTACATTTCTGTGAAGAAGTTTAGCATTATAAAATTTATACAAAATTCTCTATCTTGTGGTTTAAACAAAAGTCAGGTTTTACTTCATTACAAAAAAGATTTTATTGAATTTTGATAACAAAAAGAACATACCAAGCGAATGTCGGCAGCGTGAAAATCACAATTATTTCAATATATATTACTCGAAATTATTTACGTAAAAAGATAAATTATATTCACACAAGAACTTTCAATACAATTTTATAATAAAACACAGTACTAAAACACTAGAAAAATACAAAACTCAACACAATAACATTCACGCAAAATGACGTACGAAATAAATGTAGATTATAAATAAATATTCATAGGATAACAGTTTTTTTATTGCACTAGAGTATTTCATTTTGATTATATAATGCTAAACTTCTTAATAGAAAAGTAGTCTCTATATATAAGTTTTATGGGTTAAAATGGGTGGGTGCGACCTCATGAGACCGCTAGGGATTTGACGGAATATGGCCACGGTCTCATGAGACTGCTAGGGGGTTGAGAGGTTAATGTTTGTTTGTTTATATGTTTTTCCTATATCACTTTTTGGGGAATTAATCATATTTAAATAAAATGTGTACAAACAATTCAAACTATATCGGCTAAACAAAGCACTGTTTAAACCTACTGCTGCTGCGAAATAGCAGCTCCTACACTGCTGCGTTCCGGTCCGAAGTATATAGATAACTTAGTACTACTAGTAAGTACCTACAGGCCGTGGAGCATTCCATTTTAGACGTGACAAGGTATCTCTAGTTTTCTTTGTTTAAAGTTGACTACATGTACATTTGGTACATTGGAGTCATTAGAGTGAATTCGAAATAAAGTTTTTAATGGCAGATTTTAATCCATTATAATTTCTTAAACCTAACGGTTTCCATAAAATAACCATATTAAATTAACGATGTAAATTTATTTAACCAATTTATCGTTATACCTACCACCTTTTTAATATACTAATGGGATGGTTATTTCAGACATCATTCACTCATATTGTCATAAATAATGTATAACATGTAAATTTGATAAACTTTTATTATTGAAACTGGATTGAAAGTGCTTCGTTTATTTTATTGAATAATGTCCTATTCGCCTCATAAATGTCGAAAAAGATGTGCATGAGAAATACTGAACTCTAATCGATAACAGGATTTTTATAGAATAATGAAAGCAAACGGGATACTTAATGGTAAGGGGATACTGTGGTACCTACTTGATTAAGAATCAAAATACTGCAGCATTAGTCTGTTATTTCATGCTGGTATTACGTGAGAACACTGGTGGTAAACGGTCACACGGTTCACATGCACCTACGCAACGAAGAATGAAAATACTGCAGCATTGATTTGCTATTTTCACGCTGGTATTATGTGGTAACGTAAGCCTTCCCCAATCGAGCCGACCTATTCGTGTAACAGCCATAATATAGCAGCATCGTGGCTCTACTACGCTTAAAAAGGTCAAAACATTACCTTCACCAAACGGTAGTCTAAATATTAAATTACCTGATGTACCGAAATATCAAAATCGGTACAACATTAAGTTTTCCTCTTCGTTTGTCAAACTCGATCAGGAGTAGGCGACAGAACAGGAAAGCACTCAGCATGAGAAAAGTGTCCACAAGTAAAGTGTTGCTCAACATGAATGCGTTAGCAGGCTGTTTTATCAACTGTAACATTAGTATAAAAACAAATTTAATTGGTGAGAGTACTTAAATAAAGTCTACTTTTCTGTAATTATTAAATTCATTCCATAAATTCATCATCATCGTTACAGCCCTTCACAAGTACAAAACCTCCAGTAAGTAAACATAGTCCTGAGCCACCTCCATCCATCAATTTTCTGTATTTTTTGCTTGGTCGTCACTCAATTTAGTGGGTGGCCGTTCTATACACTTCGCTTATCGGTACGAGACTGCAAACCTACAACCTTTCTTCCCCATCAGGTTTCGTTTCGTCGAGATTTATGGGCAATCCATTGCCTCTTCAATGTTGTTGTTTTACTCATGTTAAAATGTGTGTTTAATGCAAATTAGTCCAATATGTTTAAATATGCTACTTCGTCTTGCTCGAAAAGTATTTAAAAAAATGCTTTTATCACCATTTTATAACAATTCCATATTTTTCAATTTAAATGAACAATACGTCTTTTTACAAAAACTTTTTTCAATAATCTGTTAATTGTGTTAATTTATAAATTTATCTCGGACATTTTGTGTCACATATATTAAAAATAATTTTACAGTGTAATTAACAACCATTTCATTTTATATATATATATATATATATATATATATATATATATATATATATAAATATTCCAATTTGTTTCGTGTCCTTAGGTTTAGCTACATATAATAATATGGACGTCCGAATATCCTAAAAAATTCATACTGAATGATATTTGACGTCCATATTTTCGAATTTTGTTATATTTCTATATGTGGATGTCAGATTATCGGTAAAGTTTCATACCGCACGACATTTGACGTCCATATAACCATTAATATATTTATATTTTAATTTCTTGTGTATAAGACACACATTATTGATCATCACTTTAATGACATTTTTCGCTATTGTTTTATTTTTATTTTAGTGTAGGGAGCCCATGCGGTGTGAAATAGTCACTTTGGTGTAAGAAGAAGAAGAAGATATTCCACGAGACGTTAATTGATCAGAAATATCTTGTTTTTTATCTATCAATAATTTAACCATTTCCTCAAGGTATCGCTTTGCGCCTACAAAGTTAGTGCCACAATCTGTCACAATATGTCGACATATTCCACGTCGAGACACGAATCTGTCTAGGGCTGCTAGAAACGCTTCTGTAGACAGTTCAGATACGAATTCTAAATTTTATTTATTTATTTATTTAAATAATTTACATGTGAAACTTAATCTTAGTAGATTTAGCGACAGTGTGACATAAACCAGCATTGGTTTTACCGCACACAGCAATTCGACATCTGTCGCTCGAACAGAACTAAGTAATATTCATTCTTAACTACCTACATACTTACACATTAATTGCGCGATGTGATTACTGTGCACGCTATTTGACTGATCAACACGCATAACACATATTATGCATCTCTAACTCCAAAAGCCAGAGTAACTCGTTTGGGTTTGTAGATTCACACGGGTGACATTTTTTGTACAATTTTTTTTAATTTTTTTTTTATATTTTTCGCTAGTAATGCTAAAGATAAGTAGTGCTATTTAAGTTTATTTTTGATGTTTACTAATAATAACTTATAATAACATTATACTATAAGTCATAATAAATTAACATAACATTAATATAACGATAAATAGTAGACGAAAGAAATTATTATTAACAGGATTATTGATTATAGTCCTAACAGAAACAGTTATAAAATTGGATGTTTATTTGTTTCTTTAATCACGTTTCAACGGCTGGAAGAATTCTAATGTAATTTGGCACAGAAGACGATTATGTCGCAGAATAGGAGGACATGGAATACTAATCGCAACGACTATTTTAATTTACTTTTTATTTAAACGGGTGAGTTACACGTAGTATCCTACGAAATTTATTATGAAGACTTACCCGATATATAACCGATATATAACACTTACCCGATCCCAAGCCTCAGCGTCCATTACGGGTCCGCTACCAATAAACAGACAAGCATGGCCAGCGACTATAAAAATCATGGCCAATGATTTGATGCCAGAAATACATTCCAGACCTAGTCCATTATTTTGTTTGGTCGAAAATATTTTTTTCATATTATTGATAAGTGAAAATGATATTATGAGTTCATGCGTAATAGTACCTTTATTTTTACAGTACGCATTTGTGTAAACTTCGTACAATGTGCATAAAGTAATTATAGCAATAATAGCCAGCATAAACGACCTGCAACAAAGAAATTTTGTTTAGTAGAGTTATGTTTAGTTTCTTTTTTAACACGCTTTTATTAACTTGACCTGTATGTATGTATGTAACTGAATCTTTTAACTTCATTTTCATTAAGCTTAAACTTCGATAAATTTAGATGTATTTAGTTTAAATATTTATTTTGAAAGGCTAGAGAGACCAAATTAAGTAAGGGTGAAAATCGATACTGCCTATCGGAGGACAAGTGGATGCTATGGTCCATAAACACTTACATCTATCATGGATTAAGAACCAAAATGCGGATGAGTTGTTATCTTTGAGGAATAGAATGTAAGTTGCCATAAAAGCCGCAACTTTTGCTAACGTTTCACGTTGGTATTCTGTGAAAACGTGTTCATTTTCCGATCTGACCCATTTGTGTTGTAGGTTTACCTACTTTGGAGTTGTATTGTGGTTGTAGCATTAATAATGGATCGCCTCGAGCAGAAAAGGGCCACACTGTATTTGAATATCATGTGTTTGTATTAACGTGAGTCACTTTATATATTAAGTGAAATATATAATGAAAACACTGAACTTAAATACATTAAAAATTGTATTCGTGGGGTGGATTACGTGTAGTGGTAGAATAAGAACTCTACTACCTCATATCGTGGCCGTAGAAGGAAAAGGAGAGATCTCCCGCCGGGCAAGGTGTTCCGCCCGGGGAGCGGCCAACACTGCGTGTGATAGTTCGGAGATGTTCTATTTATACTGTTTATGATTCGGAATTTTGATAGCGTGATTTAGGCTTCGATGTGCTTTGCTTGTAGCGCGACGACAGCACCGCCACATCATCCCCCTGCTCAGACCGGAGGTCGATAGTGCAGCCTCGTTGCCGACGAATGTGCAAGTGCCAGGGGATTGCCTTGTAGTCTGCGGTGAGTCGAGAAGAAGGCAAGTAATCTGCGAGAGTGTCGTGAAGCAGAAGCGAGCAGTAAGGCTCAGAACCGTGCCAAAAAATGTATAGTGCAGAAAGTAGCTTAAAGGAACAGGAAGCGTTATTATTCCAGTGCTACGATGAACCTTGTGAAGCTAGATGGCTTGCAGGATATGAAGACTGCAGACGATATCTGCTCGGGAGCGAATGGGTGGGGTATTCTATGACGATGAAGAAGCTAATAGTTTCCGAAGGTTGTTAATTGCGTGGCTTGCGTGTTCAGATCGCGTCGGGGTCACCACTGTGGCCGTAGAAGAAAAATGGAAGATCTCCCGCTGGGCAAGGTGTTCTGCCCGGGGAGCGGTCAACACACCGTGTGATAGTTCGGAGATGTTCTATATATACTGTTTATAATTCAGAATTTTGATAGCGTGATTCAGGCTTAGATGTTTTTTTTTTCTTGTGGCGCGACGACAGCGCCGCCACAATATTGTCCCGTGGGTTTCTTCGTAAGAAGCAGCAGTAGCGTTCTTTTCATAACAAGTAAAAATTCAAAACTGGCCTCCCAAGCATGAAAACTATGGGAATCCTCCCCCCCCCCCCTCTTCTTTCATGAAGCAATCTATGAGAAACCCTAGGTTCAGTAGTCAAACTTTGATAGGCGGTAATGAATATTATTATTATATACAATTGTAAATATTTATACAAACTTTCATTAAAAATAACCTCAGATCATAGAACAAAATCTAAGAAAACTACGCCTATTTTTATCACATTGCATTTTCAGGTGGTCTGGTGAACTTAATTATATTTTGCTTTTCTATTTTAAAATACTTCGATGACATTACTTATATTATATTTAAAAACACTGACAATATTTCGATGATATCACAAAGTAAGTCTCAGCGAGATTAAAATGTCTCTCCAGTATCTTAGAAACGACAAGACCCAGGTGAGAACGAATAGCAGCGGAACTTCTGAAAGCGAGTCGAAAATAGATACTTAAAGTCCTTCAGCAGCTCTTAATTCCATTCTCCGGAGGCGTCGAGCAAAATTACGGTGATCTTGTTCTTCTAAAAAGGCAACGAACGATCTCTTGAAGAACTACAGAATAATTTCAAGAGTAATTATAAATCATCTTGCATGCAGACTCGACGACTACCAGCCTCTCAATCAAGCTGGTTTTTGCAAAGGCTATAAGTACCATAAACCACATATTATACACCCTTCGGCAAATTGTACAGAAGACCAAAGAGTACAATCTGCCACTTTGTCTCGCGTATGTGGACGATGCAAAAACCTTTGAATACGCGAAACACAGTCCTTTCAGTGGTGCTAAGTTGACTATCGGTATAGGTATGGAAGTACTGAAATGTTTATACAGTAGGACTACGATAGCTATCTAAGTACCGAATTAGTGTACGAAACCTATCCAACTACAGAGAAGTGTAAGAAAAGGTAATGCTACGTCCCTGACACCTTTCACCGCTGCATTGACAGATTTTTAAGCTACTGGACTGGAAAGGATAAGGTATCAGTCCTTCAACTTGACGGCGATATAGTACTTATGGTGGAATCGCTGGAGCACTTACCATATGATCTGCTATAAGAACAAATATCACAAGGAAATACGCATATCATTCATTCATTACTGCCTTTCAAAAGTCCAAAGCCATACATAGACTGGGTTTTTATGGAACTTATATGGGGCAATTTCACTCTTGCGCTCAGCAGGCGGGTTGATCACCGCAGTTTTTATTATTTTCAGATGTTCAGATCAGTAAGATGTTGTTTCTCTTTTCGTTGTTCTGAAGATGCTCCTGTATCCGTTTTCCCTTATGTCGTCTCTTACGATATCCACAGGATGATATGAGTTAGTTGATATTCTTACACTACCACATCACAGCACAATACACGTGACAAAGAAAGAAAATATACTTTGAGGTTGGGTTAGGTTAGGTTAGGAGGTCTGTCTCGTTTTTGGACACTGGCAGTTTTGTTCTTGATCAATCAATAAGAAGAAATCTGTGCACACAAGTAGAACAGAGTAAAACAACCTAAGTATGCAGAGTCGGAGAAGCATGTAAAATACTCACAAATAACCGATGTCCAACGTGGTGACATCTACAGGGCGGCGCGTATAGCAGTCTCGTTCAGTGACTTCTACCGTAGTTCCATTCCCGACTGTACGTATCAGCACGTCTGTAACAAATCCCTGAACTGCTTTGGCATCGCAAGCACTTGGTACGCATACCGCCCAACGAAGAGTTTCACCGCGACCAGTTCGTACCTACAAAGTAGTGTATTAAATAGTTATAATCGCGTTGTGATGTCACAGTGCTTACAGTTAGGGTTCCAGGTCGATCAGTTTCCACGTGATGGAAATGACCAACTTTATCGTCAAAAAATTGTAATTATAAATATCAAATCCTAAAATCAATAATTTTGTGTCTTTTCTACGAGAAATAAACACTTTTTATTTCTTTAAGTAAGAGTTAAAAAAAATTAATATTTATATAATTTATATTCATCTTTAAAATTAGATATTATCTATTTTTAAGATAATGTTTTCAATTATAAAATTGAAATCTGTCTGCTCCCCCACTGACACTCCCAACTGATGTTATACTATTTTAAGGTTATTACTATAATTACATATTATAATTTCAAATTGAAATTATAAACTATGTTGAGAAATGGGAATCCTAGAAATAAAGTTGTGCTTATACCTGAAATAATTAAACTTAAGCTAAAACTTAACTTTATTATCTTTAAATTTTATCTAAACGTTATCTTAAAATTTTACAAATAAAATATTTATTATTTTAGATAGACAGAAAGATTTAAATGACAGTTAAAGGAAATATATATATAAAAAAAAAAAAAATATATATTAAATGTGACTGTGAAAAAATGATGGCATTTCAATAGTTAATCAAGTTTTCACTTTAATAACACAATTTAGCTGTTAAATTTTGGAAATAATTGTAAGTACTATTAGTGTTATAAAAACTAGCTCAGTTTCCTTACAATATACATTAATATAATTTTACAATTTAATAAATGTCAAACCAAAATAAAAAAAGATAATCAGTTACACATCTACTTAGTAAATATTATCTGCATTTATTAAGTAGATGTTTAAGTGGTTCACATTCTCTTATATTTTATTGAAAATGCCATTATGTGGTAAACATTTACAAGACATTTATGTATATCGACAAAAAAAATCATATAATTCAACATCTTCTTTAATGTTTTGGTCCTCTTACTTAAAAATATCAAAATAGGAAGTTTTTTGAATTGTTAGGGAACTTTAAAAAATATAAAAATTTACACATCGAACAAAATTTGTGCTCAACAGCAAAAGCTAATTTATTTTTAAAATTTAACTTTATCCAGAAAGAGTGTTTACGTTATATCTTATTTTTAATAGAAATACACTGTTTGATATTAAAAAATAAAACTCTTTTTTATTTTTTAATAACTAAAATTCAATACTAATATAACTGTTACAGAAATTTGATGGAAGGAAAAAGATTGTTTATACAAACTTATACAACAAGTTAATAATATAAGGTGTTTATGTAATACCATATAACTTCTCTCCTTGATTGAACACATGCGGAAATCCACCTAGGCATGCTGTCCCATTCTTGAATAGCGGCTTTCCTGATCTCTGACATTGTCTGGGGAGGTGGCTGACGGTTCCAAACAGCTTGCCAGACAATGTCAGAGATGATGAAATCAGGCGAGCCGGCAGGCCAGTCTAACCTTGTGATGTCGTATTCTCAGAGAGCAGCATTGAATCGTTGAGCTCGATGTTTTGCGTGCTCAGTAAGAATTGGTGCCCATGGTTTACTCGGAATGGTCTGACAATGCCATCAATAGAGACTGTTTCGTATCTATCTGCCGTCATGGTAGCTCGATACGGGATCAAAGGCGTTCTAGCTCCAATCATAATTCCACCCCAAAAGGACACCGATCTCCCGCCTTGCTAAACGGTTCCAGTGGCAGTTTTTACCTTTCAGAGTCTCCAGGCCTTCTCTAGACACGGACACGTCGGTTATCTGTATAAGTACTGATACGCAATTTGTCAACGAAGAGACAGTTTTATATTCTAATTCTATTTATTAAGTAAAGTATCTAAAAAAAAGTAAAAGTTATAATATTATAGTCTACCGTAACAAAAAAGATTTCAAACTAATCGCAACATTTTTTTGATGTGTTTATCTTTTGATGAATTTGTATTAGGCCGACAAATCACAAGCTTTAAATTATTTATTCGATCGAAACCACATAAAATAAAAGCTTATCACCTTTTCATCTTTCTGTCCGTGCCTCCATTTTATTGTTGCGAGGCAGTATTCGCCTTCAAGAGTAACTCCGGTATCGCCAGGCTCGTCTATACCTACACACTCATCAAAGTTTCCGAGATGGTATGAAGAACCGAAAAGAAGCCCTTGAGGTGATTTAGCTGAAGCATCAAACACTGTAACAATAGAAATAAATCTTTTTACAATCTGATTTATGTAAATATGATCTAGATTTTGGTTTCGAAACTTGTTGGTTTAGAGAATATATTCTAAATAGCAACCATACGTGGGCGGTATAAAAAATACATCAACCTGTTTCATAGCGCAATTATTAGGAGGTTTAGTAGCCGTGGTGTTCACCCATGGTGAAATCAGAGGAACCCACATGGCTAGCCCGAGGTGGTCACTTCTAGTAAACTTGGCGAGACAACTTCGAATGTTTTTTGGTGGGTTTAGGTGAGAACGGGTGTCGTCTTCCCCTAACGCTGCAGCTAAGGTGGAGTTGCAGGTCAAGAGGAGTATTGGTATGGCAATGCTCCACTAGCACTATCCTGCGAGACTCTGACGCGGCCGCACTGTTGATGCCGTAGTAGTGAGGCCCTGGTGTTGAGAAGTGTCGGCATTTCAAGACACCACTCTTACTATCCTCCACAGCGGAATCTTGTTTAACAGTGGGCATTTGATTTTTCCAAGTTAATTTTTAAGTTGTGAGATTGTAGCCATTCAATTATATTATCAATTGTATTATTTATGTCCAATTCATGATTATATATTGAATTTTTATTTTTTTAGTCCTAACTATAACCGAAATGTCATCAGCGTATGTGATACATTCATGACTTGTCGCATCAGATATGTCATTAATATATAATATAAACAATATAGGCCCTAAGATACTGCCTTGTGGAACTCCATTAATATTTTCAAGGCAGTTGGATTTATATGTTCTTAGTTCTTTATTTATTAATTTTGTTATCGTGACACATTGAGTACGATTTGTTAAATACGAAGCAATCCATTACAACGTAATACCCCTTATTCCTATTTTTTCCAATTTATTTAATAATAGATCGTGTGATACGAAGTCAAATGCCTTAGTTAAGTCAAAAAACAGTCCCGTAGTCAAATAATTATCATTAATATTGGTCAACACTGTATTTATTAGGTGATGAATAGCTAAGTTAGTCGATTTATGTTTTTGAAAGCCATATTGATTTTTATTTATAATGTTAAACTTATTGCAAAATTCTAGGAGCCTTTTATACATACACTTTTCAAATACTTTTGAAAGTATAGGTACAAGGGTAATTGGGCGATAATTACTAACGACGTTTCTGTTGCCACGTTTGTGTATAGGCTTTACAATGGAGGACTTTAATGTTTCTGGAAAGCTTCCTGATGCGAATGACAAATTGACAAGATGAGTTAAAACGTCAATTATTTTATCAATGCATGACTTCAATATGTGTGTATTTATGCCATCGTAGCCTATTGTTTTTTTTTTTTTTTTTTGCGGATGGAAAATAATCTAATGACCCCTCTCGCTATGGGTGGAGCGTAAGGGTGTGTCAGACTTTTACTGAAAAAAAACCATCCGTGTTCCTTAAGTGCCCTTACGTTCCGGAGCCGCGGTATCTCTTTCGAATAGCCCGCAGCCCCGGCAGGCGTCGGCCCTTGCGGGCCCCATCACGCTGCTGTTAGCTCTTTGAGGCGCGCGTGGAACAAAACGCGCCGTCGACACGGCCTGTCGTCGTTAGACGGACGGACGACGAGCTACCCATTGCTCGCCGTCCACAGGCCCGCGCCTACGGTGGCCGGGGGCCACGACGTAGCCCCCGACGCCCGGGGCGTCTCCCGCGGCGGCCGGGGAGGAAAGCTGCTGCTCTTTCCTTCTCCCGCTCCGCCACCTCCTTCGCTAGCATCACTGCTTCGCAGAAGGTGGTGACGGCATCCCATTCCGTCTCGCTCCGGACCATGGCTTCGACCAGGGCCGGACGCGAGAGGTCGCCGCCGCCTATCGCCGCTACGAGGACACGGCGGTGCTCCGCCCAAGCAGGGCACACCTCCACGGTGTGTTCCACCGTGTCCTCCGGTCCATCCTCGCAGTGGGAGCACCCGGGCGTTTCCTCCCGCCCGATTCGGTGCAGGAACCTCCCGAACACACCGTGTCCGGTGAGGACCTGAGTCAGGCGGAAGGTGAGGATGCCGTGGCGTCTCTCAAGCCACTCCTCAAAGAGGGGTCTTATCGCCGCTATAGTGGCGTGCCCAGCACGGGGTTGCGACAGTCGCTCTCTCCATGTCGCCATGAGATCGTGCCGGAAGTCTGTCCGCTGCGCGACAACTTGCCGCGGCAGCGGGGTTTCCCCCCGGCATAGTGCCTCCGCGCGCCATTCGTGCAGGCGTGCGAGGACTACCGCCTCCAGATCCCATGGCGGCAATCTGGCAAGGAGGCTCGCCGCCTCGCGGGAGATCGTGCGGTAGCCGCGAACCATTTTCACGGCGACCACCCTTTGGGGCGCGTTCAGGTGGTGGACGGCAAGCCGCGCCAAACCACGCGCCCACACCGGGGCCCCGTAAAGGGCCATGGATCGCACGATCCCCTCGTAGAGCCTCCGGCAGGAGGCGTTTGGCCCCCCAGGTTCGGCAGGAGTCGCCTGAAGGCAGCCCCGGTCCGTTCCAGTTTGGGAGCCAAACGTCGGAAGTGCTCAACGAAGTTCCATCGGCCGTCGAGGACGAGTCCTAGGTACTTCAGCGTCGACTCGACGCCGATGGATACCCCTCCTACCATTACCGAGGATCCCGGTGGTGGCCTGTTCCGAGGACCATGGAAGTGCATGGCCTCGGACTTGTGCAGAGCCACCTCGAGACCCAGTTGCCGAATCCTCTCAACGACTATCGCAACCCCGCGTGTCATAGTTTCCGCCGCCGCCTCGTACGACCCCCCTTGTGCCAGTACCAGCGTGTCGTCAGCGTAGCAAATTACGCTGACGCCGGTAGGGAGGTCGGCGCGCAGCACCCAGTCATAACCGATGTTCCACAGAGGTGGCCCCAGAACCGAACCCTGTGAGACACCGCACGACATCTCTCGCTGGTTCCACTCACCGTTGCGACCGGGGTAGATGACGGCCCTGTCCGTCAGATAGTCCCCGACTATACGACGGAGATAGGTCGGCACCCGGTGATACCGGAGTGCCTCCCTAATGCAGCTCCAGGGCATGGAGTTGAAGGCGTTGGCGATGTCGAGAGACACCGCCAAGACAACCCCCCCTCTGGCCACTGCATCCCCCGTCGTGAGGGCTTTCACGCGCATGATGGCTTCCACCGTAGAGCGCCTCTTGCGGAAACCAAACTGGTGTTCCGCAAGATCCGGCCCCGTCCCCGCAAGGTGCTCGGCGAGGCGGTTTGCAATGACTCTTTCAAAGAGCTTGCCCACCTCGTCGAGCAGCACCACGGGCCGGTATGCGGAATGCCATCGTAGCCTACAGAGTTGGTTTTATTTAAGGTCATTACCTCTAATTTAACTTCATTTACTGACATGGGTTTAAGGAACATTGTGTTTAAGTTAAAATTGTTCGTAATATAAGAGCCTTCGCCATTTTTTACATTATTAATACTAATTTTACCGATGTTTGTAAAGTAGTTGTTAAATATTTGGGATATTTCTTCCGGGTTTGCTATGTCGGAGTCGTCAATTTTTAGATAGTCAACAGAAGCTTCACTTTGTGTTATACCTATTTCATTTTTTATTATAGACCACGTTGCTTTACATTTATTATTACTGTTTTGAATAAATTTTATGTTTGCAAGTCTCTCAGATTTATTTATACATTTTTTTAGGATATTTGAATATGTAAAATATTTCTGTCTATTGCTAGCTGATTTATGTGTATAATAGTTATATCGGAGTTTTCTCTTTGTGTTACAACTTTTTAGTAAACCTTTACTAAACCACATGCGATTGTTTTTTTTTTTTTTGAGTTATTAACCTTTACTTTTTTAGTTGGGAAACACAAGTCGTAGAACAACCTGAAGTTCGAATGAAAGTTATTGAAGGCTATATTCAAGTTAGGTTCACTATATACTTCAGACCAAGAGAGGCTATTCAAGCATTCCTTAATTTTTTAATATTTTCTAAAGAATGGTCTTTTTTGAATGAGTAGTGGGATTTTTCTGTTTTAGGAATATTTTTTTGGATCGGAATACTCAGTAGTTGCGCTGTTTCATGATCCGACAGATAGAAAGGCAGTACATGAGCAGTAGTGTCCTATACATTACTAAGGATGTGATCTATACATGATTCTTTGCGAGTTGGAACATCGATATGGAGTTTCAAATTATAGTTATTGCAAAGATCTTTTAAGTGGCATGTCAGGCTGCCAGGTTTCAAGGTATTTATATTAAAGTCACCTACTATAACAATGTTGTAATTTGGTTTTACTTTTTTTGATAAATCATGTAGTAAATACCTCAATTTATTTAGAAATATGGTAGGGTCAGAGGAAGGGGTTCTATAAATACAAATAACAATTAGCTTGTGAAAAGGTATTACTATGCCACATACCTCAAAAACTTTTTGCATAGCATATGTTTGTAAGTGTGTGAGTTCAGTGAAATTAATATAGTTTTTTGTCAAGATACACGTACCACCTCTATTCTTATCCCTACAGAAAGCAGCGGCCATATATTTTAAAATAGTATAGCCATTTATTTTAAAATAGTTTTTGTAACAAGCTTTTTAAAAAGTTTCTGAAAGGCATATTATGTCTGGGATTTTATCTTTTCCAAATAGTTCAAACAACGTTAATTCCAACAGCGATTGTTTTGATAATATACTAGCTATGTTTTGATGCATAATATTAAAATATTGTAACTTATTAAAATATTGTAACTTATCCTCGAAATAAATCATTTTTATTAATTACGGTAAAGTAGTGTGGGATAGTTCCCTTTTTCTTAGATGTAACATTTTGGCGTGTAACAGGATCAGCGGGGCTCAACCTAGCCAGGTCAATATCAGTATTTTTGGGTGGGAAATAGTAAGGTATTGTTCCCTTTCGGATAATATTCTGATTTTTTAACGTCAGGTTTGGTTTACTGCCTATCACCAAGTTTGTCAAGTTTCTTATATTTAAAAATTTTTCATTATAATCAATACAGTCAATAGTGTAGTTTATAG